GTCCACCATGGTTATTCGGAGACACCCCAGCATAGTGCACATTTCCGTGGTAGCCGTTCTACCTGGCGCTTGTGAGATGCGTAAAGCAGTTTCTAACCAAGTGTACAGTTTTCACAGCAAAGGGCAGAGCAGTTTCACCTCCTTCCTTTGGGCTGGTCTGTTTGATGACATGAGCAGGATGCACCTGGGAAGCTTTCATGTGGCCCTCAGCCCTTTGGCCACTCCGGAACCGTTGGGTTTGAAACTGGGTCCAGCTGCTACCTCCTCCTTGTCTTCTTCCAGGGAAAGATGAGGGGGAAGGAACCCACATTCCTCCATGGGTCAGCCATCCTAGCTGCAGCCTGGGGTGTCCTGACCCCTAGGTTGGCTAGGAAGTGACCCCATGAGCATCTGGTGCGGTATAGGTGTACGTTTGGCCCCCTGCAAGGTTGGTCTTAACCCAACCACATCTCTGGGGCGCCAGTATCCCAGGGGCACTTAGGTATGGATTCCGGGGGGTGCCCCACACTAGCAGGCCCCCTCTGGAGCTGCATCTCAAGGCCAGGGCTATGCATATGCCGGGAATGCATTTCCGTTGGTGGGGTCATCCTGTTGCCCTCACCCTCCGGATAGAGTCCTGTCTTAGGGCCCCCCGCCCCGATGGGCTGTGATTCAGGCTGTCTTAGGTAGGAGAATCCATCAGGTCCATGGCCATACCCTGACAAGTTGTGTCCATGTCCAGTAGCTGCTGTCCAGCTGCTTTACCCTTCCCTGGGGCTTCTCCCCAGTGAACAGGGCAAACGTTGAGGAATACTGCATAATATGTGATTCCTATCCAAGACTGGAAAAAGCCCCTGATATGTGTGCAGTAGACAGGAGGCCACTGCCTACGATAGAGGCCTCTTTTCAAAGGGTGGCCAGAGATACTGGGGGACAGCTCAATCACAGGGCTCGACAGCAGCTATGGATGAATTAGGCTCAAGCTTGTGAAGACCAGCTCTTTTTAATCATGGTGAAATATTTGCTGCCAGTTTGCATCCAAACTTCAGCACAATAGAATAAATAGAAACAAACCTGTTTCCCACCAGATTCTCCAGATACTGGGGTGGTGCTAGGATGGAGGTATTCCCACATGCTTGTCGTTTGTCTCTTGCTTCTAGGAAGTAAGGCCAGATTCCTGGGAAGGCCGAGATGGGATTTTTTTCATAGGGGGATGGAATGTTTTTCTGTCTCAATTTGCTATATCCCTGTAACCCCTGCAGCACCCCCTTTTGGCTGGGGGGAGGAGTCCACATGACTTCCCTTCTTTGATGTTTAGGAGAAGGAGACATCTTGTTCCTATGAATAAAGCAGCTAGGAGAGGTGGGAGGGAGAGGTGAATGTGTCTGGAACGAAGAGACAGTGATCATGGCAAGTGCTGTGGCTATTAAACTCATGCATCTGGTGTTAGCCACTGTCCAAGACAGGATACTGGGCTAGCTGCACCGGCTCTGATCCAATCTAGCCGGTCCTGTGTTCTGACCCAGCCCCGGAGGGAAGGGGGCTGGCTGGCTTGCGGGTGGGAGTGGGATTACGGTGTCTTTCTTCTTTTGGGGGTGCTGGATCCAATATGCTCCCAAGGGGTGGAACTGTCTGGCTCAGGGGAGCAGGGAATGGGACCCGGGGCCTTTCTCCTCCAGGTCCCCAGCTCCCGTCCAGCCCGTCCAGGAAGATAAAGCAAGGATGGGGATGAGTTTACCATCCTCCAGGTTACCGCTGTGCTGGTCTCTGTCTTCCTCCAGTGGCTGCTCCGCAATGAAGTTTATGTGTCCAAAAGTGTCTCCAGCAGGGGAGGGGACTTGCTGGAGCTATAGTCCCTACAAAATTTGCATTCCCTCCCCTCCCCGCACACCACCACCATAGCCCCCTGTAGCAGCTGCCGCTCTCTGGCCGCCCAGCTCTGAAGGCAGAGCGGAGAGAGCAGTGGCTGCTGGCTGGGCACCCAGCTTCAGCAGCAGCGCAAGGAGTAAGCCTGGGCGGGGGAGCCGGCGTGCCTGAGAGCAACCCCCCGTCCCGTCCCTGCCTGCTGGGGTACACTGCCCAGGGCAGGTGGAGAGTCCGGGGCTCCCCACAGCAGCCTGGACTAACCCACTCTGGATGGGGCTCCTGGGCCACACCTTTCATGGTCACTGCTCCCCGAGGGCTCTGCTGGCCCCAGAGTTGAGTCCCCCTGCCCAAGCAGCTCCTACTGGCTGTGAGTAGCCAGCACCCCAAACTGCCTTGCTCTGGCTTCCAGCCTCTAACCTGGCCAGGGGGTGGGACCTCAGGGGGGTGGGGAGAAGGAGGAGGTGAGACCTTTTGAGAAGTAGCAGGGGGTGAGGCCACAGAGAGGGGCGGGGCCTCATGGTGAGGGGGGCAGCCCCCACTTTTCTGTCTAGCCCACCTCAGCCCCACACCAGGAAGAGACTGGCCCCACCCCTGGCCTGTGAAGCACTGAGCAAGGGCCATTCGCACCGTGCTCCCCAGAGGAGCCAGCAAGCAGACATGGCAGTCCCAGGCCGGAGCAGTCTGCAGGGTTAATGTTTAACTCTGGCCTTTGGCCAATGCCACCTGCAGCTTCTCTGCCTCCCGCGGGGCTGGTTAAAGCTAAACCCCAGGGCTGGGTGTGGAACAGCTGAGCCCAAAGAGGGGCCCATTCCCTGCTCTTGGCCCCAGCTGCACCTGCTCCTGGCAGGGGGCAAAACCCTGCGTCCAAAGGGGAATCCACTGCTCAGGCTCAGGGCTGCGCAGGAAGCCAGGCAGAGCCATGTTGAGCAATCCCCCGTGAAGGCAGGGGCAGCTGCTGGAGCTCGCCCACTGGAGGCAGCAGGGTGCACTCTGGATCAAGGCCATGATTTTTTGGAGGGGGGAGGTAGGGTGTTAATGATCCTGGTTATTGCCCTAGCCTCACATGAGAAGAAGAAAACAATGGACTGGATCCCCTCGTGTGTGTTTGTGTGTGTGTGGGGGGGGTAAGTCCTCCTGCTTGTGACAGACCCATCGCATGCTACCCTGAGCCTCTTCTGCTTCCCCTCAGCAGGTTGGAACCAGCCTCCATGATTGCCCAGTTCTGAGCCAGGCCACCGCATACCTGATGGGACTCACCACATCTCCCACCCCCACCTTTAGCCCTGTTTCCCCACCCCATCACTTCCCTGCCTCCAGCCCCTATCCCGCTTCATTGGTTCCTGCCCACCTTCCTCCCCCACGGCCTCCCCCAAGACAGATCCTGCCTCTTCACTCTCCCACCCTGCTCCTGTTCTCACTCCTGCATTGCTCCTGCGACTGCAGTCAACTCAAGTTGCACCTCCCCCACACCACCTGAGGGGGTCACTGAGTACACAGGAGAGACAGGTGCCCCGGTCTGGGTGCCGGTGCCTGGCACCACAGCAGACAGGAGCAACAACAACTGCAGGGAAAATCAGTCCCAGGCTGGAGCATGCTCAGTCACCTGGTAGGGCAGGCCCATGGGCACTCTAATCCATTCTAGGAGCTGGGAGGGGGTGAAGCAGAATCTTCAGGGAATTAAAAAGGCTCTACTGAGCATGTGCAAACTCAGATTCTCTAAAGATTTATAACTT